CTAAAAAAAAGCCACTTAGCAATTTTAAAACAACATTAAAAATTTGAATTATAAATGAAAACATAATTAATGGAAGTAGTTTAATGAATCTTATACATAATTTAAATAGATCTTAGACAAATATAATTTATATATCTATATCTATATCTATATCTATATTTATAATTATATTTATATCTATAGTTATATTTATATGTATATTGCTATCTATATCTATATTTATATCTATATATTGATCCAGTCATAGATTTTCTTCTTTGTTAGCTAAAAATATGGAGGTAAAAAATTAATTAAAAACTATAATAAAAAAATAAAAAATATAAAAATACGTAAATTGAGATAACCTATGATTATTTATATTTTGGAGTAAGTTAAAATATAAAATAAAACTGAAATATACTTAAGATGCTAAAGATTTAATGAGTTTAAAATTAAATAAATTCAAGCAGTAAAATAAGATTTTACATAAAGTATACAAATTATTTATAAGGTAAGAAAAAAATTAAATAATCAGTAAAAATTATTTTAATAACAAGAATAATAAAGTCATATTAATATCGATAAATCGGGCACACACATATTTTATACGTAAATATTACTACAACATTTAGATATAATGTGTTCAAACAATTAAGAAAATATTTTTGTATGATTAATATTTGAATTGAGTGCAATTAGTTTAAGTTTGAAAGCATAACATAAATTTTTGAAAATACGGTCCAATTTAGAAAATAGAATGATAAAGATTATTTGAATTTGAGATGAGAAAGTTATTTAATTTTTATCTATATTATATTAGAATGAATATGGTAGAAATAGATATTAAATTCAAACAAGCTAATAAAAATCCGCATGACAGTGTAATAATATTAGGAATTGAATAATATAATATCAAAAATAAATAATAAATAGAGAAAAAATAAAAATTCAGATTTTTATCATAGAGAAAAAGGGTTAAACTAATTTAAATTTGAGATGAGAAAGTTTTTAATATTGTGATAAGAAAAGTCATAATATGGATAAGTCCACATAACTCAAGTCTAATAGATAAAATCAAAAACTAAAAATATTGAATAATAAAAATAAATTAGATATAATGTGAGGATATTTATAAATCATACGTTTAGAAAATAAAATAAAGTAAATGTACAATACTTAAAAATATTATTAAAATTTAAATAATTTAAAATTTTCAAGCAGTTTTTTTAAAACGAAATAAGTATTTATTTTTTGATTAAAAAATTATATATTTATCTATATTATATTAAAGAATAGTAGTTGATAATGATATTAAATAAAGTTACAGTTAATGACAAGTCACATAAAACGTAATAAGACTATATATTAGATTAAGAAAATAGCAAAATTACTTTAAATTATTAAAATTTACTATTAGAAATGAAAGTGAAATACTATTTGAATTTGAGATTAGAAAATTCTTAAAACTATGATGAGAATGCTTAAACTATGAATAATTGGTTATGACACATAATACAAAAATAAAAATTATTAAAAATTATCAGGATGTTATAATAAAATAACAAATTTAATTTTACTTTGGACAAACCCAATATCACAAATTAGTACTAAATAAAGGGTAAAAATTTTAGATGCAAAAAACCAATTAAAAATATCACAATAGTTTTGAAAAATGTATAAATAGGGAGATAGAGATAATATGAGGACATTTATACTTTGAATTAATAAAAAAATGAAGTAAGTACATAATACACAAAAATATTATTGATTAAATTAGAAAATTAAAAAATAAAGTAATTAAAAAAGGTACCAAGAGTAAGATATATGTGTGTGTGTATATATATATATATATATATATATATTCATCTGCTGGATAATATAATAAAGAAAAACAAAAAATAAAAATATTATTCCATTATGATCTACTTCCTTTAATTTCATATAGATTTTGTTATTAAATATATTATATTGAAAATCAAAAATGGAAGTGAATTTTTATTTTTCAAAGTAATGTAATCTAATATGCTCAAAATAACAGATATCACAATTTGAAATAACTAGTATTTTTTAATACGATCCGCGCATCGCGCGGGTTCTAGTACTAGTCTTATATTAAAAGGAGAGTAGTATGCATTGTGGTTAAACCAAGTGGCAAGCTAAAATGAAGCCACTTGACAATTTTAGGACAACATTAATAATTAGAAATTATAAATGAAAACATAATCAATGGAAGTAGTTTAATGAATCTTATACATAATCTAAATAGATCTTAGACAAATCTAATATCTCTCTCTCTCTCTCTCTCTCTCTCTCTCTCTCTCTATATATATATATATATATATATATATATATATATATTTGTATCTATATATTGATCAACTCATAGATTTTCTTCTATATTAGCTAGAAATATGGAGGTAAAAAATTAATTAAAAAAACTATAATAGAAAAAAATAAAAATATAGAGATGCGTAAATTGAGATAACCTATGACTAGTTATATTTTGGAGTAAGTTAAAATATAAATAAAACTAAAATTTACTTAAGATATTAAAGATTATTGAGTTTAAAAATTTAATAAATTCAAGCAGCAAAATAAGATCTTATTAAAGTATACAAATTATTTATACAGTAAGAAAAAAACTAAAGAATGAGTAAGAAAATATTTTAATAACAATAATAATGAAGTCATATTAATATTAATAAATCGGGCAAACAATTATCTTATACATAAATATTACTACAATATTTAGATATAATGTGTTCAAACAATTAAGAAAATACTTTTGTATGATTAATATTTGAATTGAGTACAGTTAGTTTAAGATTGAAAGCATAACATAAATTTTTGAAAATGCGGTCCAATTTAGAAAATAGAATGATAAAAAAATATTTGAATTTGAGATGAGAAAGTTATTCAATTTTTATCTATATTATATTAGAATGAGTGTGATAGAAATATATATTAAATTCAATCAAGCTAATAAAACTCCACATGACAATGTAATAATATTAGGAATTGAATAATATAATATCAAAAATAAAGACTAAATAGAGAAAAAATAAAATTCAGATTTTTTATCATAGAGAAAAGGGGTAAAACTAATTTAAATTTGAGATAAGAAAGTCTTTTATATTGTGATAAGAAAAGTCATAATATGGGTAAGTTCACGTAACTCAAGTCTAATATACAAAATCAAAAACTAAAACTATTGAATAATAAAAATAAATTAGAGATAATGTGAGGATATTTATAAATCATGAGTTTAAAAGTAAATATATAATACTTAATAATATTATTAAAATTTAAATAATTTAAAATTTTCAAGCAATATTTTTAAATCAAAATAAATACTTATTTTATGATTAAAAAATTATATATTTATCTATATTATATTAAAGAATAGTAGTTGATAATGATATTAAATAAAGTTACAAGTTAATGAAAAGCGACATAAAACGTAGTAAGACTATATATCAGATTAAAAAATAGCAAAATTACGTTAAATTACTAAATATTATTATTCGAAATGAAAGGGAAAAACTATTTGAATGTGAGATTATAGTTCTTAAAACTATGACGAGAATGCTCAAACTATGGATAGTACCACAAAATTGAAGTCTTATTTATGAAAAATAAAAAATAAATTTCTATATAGGCAATTTTACTAATAAAAATTAAAAAATAAATTTGTATCTTAAAACTAAAAGAGAAAGAAAATTTACATAAGTAAATAATATGACATTGAAAATATTGTTACAACATTCAGATATAATGTGTTCAAAATAATTAAAATATTTTTTTTGATTAAAATAAAATTTAATATAGGTAATTTACTAATAAAAATTAAAAATTAAATTTGCATCTTAAAGCTAAAAAGAAAGAAAATTTAACTGCAGCTAATACAAAAATAATTATAAGAGAACTCAATACATTTGAAACATATTAATCAAATAAATTAATTCAAAGTTACAATTTAAAATAAAATATGATATTATTTTGGTTATAGGTGAAACAGTAATATAAAAACTAATTAAAATATTGTAGTAGAGAAGAGAGTGTATAAAAAATAGAGGTAGTGTGAGGATACTTATACTTTAAATTAAATAAAAATAAATAAATTAAATAATTAAAATATATTTTAAAATATTACTTATAAATTTAAATAATTAAAATTTTTTGAATAAGAGGTTACAAACATAAAAATATACCAAATTTCAAGAATAAAACATTTATATTTATTAAGGACTATTAAAAGATAATAAGCAAGACATTAATTTAATTATTAAGCTAATAAAAACTTATATGATAGTATAATAATATTAATTAATAAATAATACAATAACCATAAGAAAATAACAACAACAAAAAAAGAATTTGCATAAAAATGATGTGATAAATAAGACATATTTCACTTTGAGTCTTTCAGATAAAAACAAAGTGATAGTAAGAATTTTGTTAAAATAATATTGTCTAATGTGCTCAAACAAGACAGATCACAACATGACATGNTTTTAAGGTTATTCGCACATGATTCAAACAACCTACATCACAATTTGATATGATTTTTGTCCGCGCATCGTGCAGGTACTAATACTAGTATATTTACTTAAAAGGAAGAAAGTTAGCACGGAGATTTTGCCAAGTGTCACATGCATAAAATGCCATATGGTAATTTTAGGATAAATTAGTTAATTTAGGTAAAAATTAGTTTCTTTTTAAAAATTTGAATTTGAAAACAATTAATTAGGTATTCTATATTTTAAAGAATCAGTAGGTTCTACGCTATTTTGCATATCCTTCAAAGTTGTAAGTGTATATTGTAGAATACAATGAAATATTGTGTATAAAAAAGGGGGAACTTTATTTCTTTTGGGTTGATTTTTGGCGTTTTTTAATGGATCTTTAAAAAAAGCCAACTCATTTATTCTATCATGATATAATTACAAACTATTATGCACCCAATAAAATATACAATACCTAATTAAAAACCATTGTTTTACTCCTGATGGATACAATTCACGTATAGATTATGTTTTAAAGAACGGGCATTGAGAACGCCATTTTCGCCTATTTGCCCTAAAAAATTCATCCTCCAAATTCACCCTTCAATCCCACCATGTCTCACCGCGATTTTAACTCTTCACCCACGAACTCTTCTGTGCTAGATTCCCTAAAAATTTCATCCTCCAAATTCAGCACTTCAATCCCACGATCTCTCACCACGATTTCAACTCCTCACGCACGAACTCTTCTGCACTGGATCCCAATAACATGATTTCACAGTTTTATCAAAGCAATTATACTTTTACAGTATAGAGTTCTATTCTTTCTCCATCGTGTGCATATCAAACAACAATTTTGGAGTACAAGAGGTGATTGGTATGCTTTGTATTTCACATGCATTTTTTGGATAATCATCAGCAATAAGTTAATTATTTCAGATACAAGATTGCATCTATTGTGTTTATTTAAGCATTTTGTTGGAGTTTCTACTTATATTTATAAATAGCTCTGTCTATTTCAGGATTTAATGGCGGCGGAAATCAATTTCGCTAGCAAAATTAATAGCAAGTCAATGAATTAGAAATTAAAGGTTCGTATTGTCAGGCTTTGGGAAAATCCGGATCGCGAAAGACCTGATAACCCTTTTTCAATTGAGATTATTCTGATGGATAAAAAGATATTGTTTAAAACTTTATAATTACTTTCTATTTAGCATTATTTACATATGCGTAAGTATATTACAGTCATATACGAATTAACTTAGTCATTTTAACTAATTGAGTTTTTTAATAGGGCGACCGCATTCACGCAAGTATTGGCAGGTCTTTTATCTAAAGGTTCAAACAAGAAATTAAGGAAATGGGTTTGTACATCATGAAGAATTTCGTGGTTTGTCCGGATAATATGAAGCTGGAGACCAAAGACCACAAGTTTAAGTTGATGTTCACGCATCAGACCACTGTTGATGAAATACATGATCCACATTTCAATATGTGTATTTTGAAATTTAGAACTTATGAGCAGCTGTCAAATCCCCAAGAATTTGACAATACTGAGCTATTCGGTAATTAAACTTCTCTCATTTTTTCCACTTTTATTTTACTTTGTGTTATTTGTTTTCTATCTTATGAGTGCCTAGTGTGAACTAAATCGATACTAATTATAGTACATAAGATCAAAGATTAAGTTTTAGATTAAAGCTGAAATTTTTGACATTGTTAAATCCTCTATCAAAAATCATAATCTGATTTCTAGAAGGCCTTTGTAGGCGCATGGAACAAAAGAAGAAGGGGGAAATGCAAAATGAACAGATAAAAAATAGTTTCTGAAAAATGGGCATGTGATGCAGATGCAATCCTTTTAGTCTCTTGAGTAAAAGAGGGTCTGTTAGTATGTGATTTTCAAATGTTATAACACTGTCCTGCTGCTTATTGTTGATGAAATAGTCTCATTTCTTGACTTCACAGTACATAAGATCAAAGCTTAAGTTTTAGATTAAAGCCGAATTTCTTAACATTGTTAAATCCTAAATCGAAAATTATAATCTGATTTCTAGAAGGCTTTTGAAGAAACATGGAACTAAAGAAGAGGGGGGGGGGGGATGCAAAATGAACAAATAAAAGATAGTTTCTGAAAAAAGGGCATGTGATGCGGATGCAATCCTTTTGATCTCTTGAGTAAAAGACGGTGGGAGTTTAAAATCTGTTAGTATGTGATTTTAAAATGTCATACTATGGGTGAGAGTTTTAAATCTGTTAGTATGTCATCTTAAAAAGTCTTACCACTATCATGCTGCTTATTGTTGATGAAATAATCTGATTTCTTCACATTATTGCAATACCAATTGCTATATCTTAGGTAGATCATAATATTTATTAATTCTTTTATAATCTTCATTTATATTGTCTATAATGATTACTAATTTTGCACATTTTTCCTTGGTCAATGTTATTGTAGTTGTTATTGGCAAAATTGTGAGCTATGAGGACGTACAATCTATCAAAAAACAAGATGATAACATCCATGTATACATGAACATTGAGATACAAGATTATGAGTAAGCTCGCCATAATTTATTCAACTAAGTACATATTTCAATAATTCTTTATTTTGATTTCTATGCTTAACCTTATAATTATTGTAGGAGCAACAATATTTCTGCAACTCTTTAGGGAGATTTTGTGGAACAGATCAAGCCATATTTGAATTGATCTAATGATAAATTTATTGTCGTTGTCATGCAATTGATTAGAGCACACAAATACCGAGGTTATTAAATTTTCTACTTACTTTACAATAAAAGGACTCTATACAATTAGTAATAGTACAAGATTGATTATCACAAGTCTTGGAAATCGGGTAATTGAAGTCAAAGTATTATCAGGAAAAATGGCTAGAGACAAAGTTTTTATACCAAGAATAACACTTACTCCATCTGATGTAAGAATTCCTTTTAAGTTCCAAAGAAGGCAATTTCCAGTCATTGTATCTTTTGCCATGACCATCAATAAAAGCAAGGTCAGTCATTATGTAATGTGGGATTATTTTGAAGAAGTCTGTGTTTACTCATGGACAACTATACGTTGCACTTTCAGGAGTAACAAGTAGAAAAGGGTTGAAGATCATATGTTATGATGAAGATGGAAAAATAACAAATGAAGCTACCAATGTAGTGTATAAAGAACTTTTCCGAAATTTAGAGGATAGAAGTTTTTAATGAGTAAGTATCAAATAAGCATCACCAATAACAAGTTCAGTGTACATACTCAGTATATAGTTGGTCATACTACAGACAAACATAAAATTGGATGAGGTAAACATTCTTCTAAATTTAATTTACTTTGATATATCCTGTTATAGCCTAATTGTTTTTTAGTCACAGGGAAATACTTTTATTTGTTAAATTATATATATATATATATATATTTGCAGTCAATCACTTCAGTTACATTGTGGAATTGCAAGAATATGGATTACCAACCATCATTTCACATTTATAGATTGCTACTAGGTATGCAATATTACTTAGAATGAATTTTATTAGAAAATATATAATAAGAGTGGTAGTCTGATGTCTAAATGCTCATTATGAATAGGAAGAAGAATATCTTCAAGTTGGTTGAATATGTAGCTCCTGAGAAAATTGAGAATGTTTATGCCAAATGCAAATTTATTGCACAGTGCTTTGTCTATGATAAGCCGATAAAGAACTTTTCTCTTGCGAGTTAACTAAATGGTGTCTCCTTTGCTCACTGCTGCAACATTACAGGTGACAGCTTTAATTCCTCTTTAGTAGCAGTAGTTTGTGTAGAGCCAGAAGTCTTTAAGGAATGGACATAATCTCATCTGAGAGAATCAAGATAGCTTTTAATCTTCAATATTTAGCCAATGCATTTACATTTTGTCAAATGCTTCACTTAAAGCAACTTGTGTGGAGGTCATCATTTAGATTTAATGTTGCATTGCATTAACCATCATATTATGCATATCTATCTTATCATTAACTCTGCATAGAGCATGTGAGCTGTGCTTATATTCACACAGGTAGAAAATTACAACTTGTTTCTAGAGCTTCCTATAAAATATACTGGTAATTAAATATTTGGTCAACTTTTTATTCTGATGATGGCTTATTTTGATATAATCTTGTTAGTTACAATGATTGTTGCTTTATACAAAGGTTGTGCAGAAAATTCTCATTACTGATGTTGACTACCTTTTTTTTCCCTCTCAATATAAAATGATTTACCACATGTTAATTCATTCTGGGTAATTTTTGTTTAAAGGACATGTCCTGAGGAGCGTAGAGAAGCTGTAAAATCTTTGATTTTTGCAGCAGCTAGACTCGCTGACGTGCCAGAATTATGTCAACTAAGAAGTGTATTTACTGAGATATATGAAAATTCCCTTGTGAAGAGCAAATCTGGCTGTTCCGACTTCTATTGTAAGATTACTAGAAACATCAGATATTGGTCTGCAATAGAAGATATTGTCAATGATCAAAAGTTGGAAACAAGAAATGTGTCGAGAAACTGCTCATGTATTGTAATCTCTATTGTTTCCTTTAGGATTTGATGGAACTTTAGATTCTTAGAGTTTAAGTTAAGTTCCCTCACAAATTGATAATCAATTTCTAAAGCTATAAATATATTGCCATCTTCACTTAGTCAGCACCTAAATATGATCTGTCATAAATGCATTTATTTGGAAGCTATAAAGTCTGCGCTAACTCATAAATTCAGTTATTTTGGTGGTTGTTGAGTTTAGTTCTTTTTCTTGCATTAAATTACTCTATGATCCATATAGTAAGAAATGTAAACTTCTTCCTCTAAGTGAAATTTTTTGTGATACATTGCAGAAACCCCCCTTCTATAATCTAATAGAATTAGTATCTACGTGACTAAAGCTCACAAAAAAATTATAAACTCCAGTGTGCAGCTCAATTTTTGCGTCAATGTGCTGCAAAGGGAACCAAGTGATGCAAAATTTGTGCATGATATTAAGCTATAACTTTGGCTACTTTGCTGATATGGAGTGTGAAGACCAGCACTTTGTGTCATTGAGTGCGACACCTTGTGCGAGACACAATATTTGACACAAAAGTTAATGAAAATATAGGGTCTTACCAACAAGAGCACCAATATGAACCTAAAATTGCAAATAATTAATAAAATGAGCTATCAAAGTGAAAAAAGAAAAGGAAATTTCTCATGGCTATAAAAACTCTAAAATAGAAAAAAGATCAGAGCAAACGGTGTAAGTTTTCTTTTGCCAAATTTTTTCTGTATCTCTAAAAATTGCACAAGAAAGCACAACTATATATTGTATGTTACAGATGAATCACATTAATTTTGCTAAGCCAAAAGCTTAAGCTAAGTACAATATTATTTAGTTGTAACGATAAGTGTAGTACTTCGAAGCTTTAAATAATTTTGAAAAATATGATGATTCATGCAATAAGATTTTTATTTATTTACTTTTTTTAATACTTTAATTAGTTTTAGTGGATTAAAAAAATTCTGTTCTTTGAGAAAGTGCATTTATCGAGGATGACGGAAAAGACTTGGTGTGTAAAGCTTATTTTTTAATAAAGAAGTACTTAGAGACCTGTTTCTACTATATCATTTTTTCCTTTGAAACAATTCGCGCATCGCGCGAGTACATATACTAGTATACTTGAAGATATAAGGAAAATTGCGTTGAATTTATATTCAATTTTAATCTAAATATTTTATCTCTTAACTCAATTCAAAATTTACCCAAAGAATTATAATAACTACCTGATTCCTACGTGTGGGTTATCTATTTTAATTTTTTGTTTTGTTATTTTAAGTGGAGAGATATGTGCCTATCATTTAGGAGAAATTTTATACCATGGATAAATTACTCCAGCAGTAGCAGTAAGGGTATTGATTTTTTTTTTTTTTTGGTTTTTATATTTGAAGATGTAAGAAAAGTTGAGTTAAACTTATATTTCATTTTTAATCTAAAAAATTTATCTATGTAGTCAATTCAAAACTTGGGTTATCTATGTGCAATCACACGCAGGAGATATTTCATTATTTTATTTTAAATTTAAATCAAGTAACTAATTATTATACCTAACATAACTAATTTGTTTTAAAGTTGTGACATGGCATTCTTTATGCGAGACTTGGAGAAATCTCATGGATGACTTCCTTCTTTTTAATATATAATAGATAATAGATAATAGATTACTTCTCACTCACATAGATAATTTTGCAAATTTATCTACCAAAACCTTCACAAATAAAAAGAAACTGTCTCCTGTTCAATAGACAATTGTATCTGAAGAATAGCTTATATAGCAAAGTGTTCATAATTTAAAACAAATTAACAAGGAATATGCTTCAATCTCAAATTAATTGGGATATGTTATATGAATTATTTTCTTTTAGAATTAATTCATCATCACTCGCCCTTAATTGAACCGATCATGTTGTGGGAAACTTATATATACTGTTTTAGAGTCGTAGCATAATCTTGATAAATAAAATGTATTAAAATTAGCCATTTTATATAAAGGTTCCCGTCTCGATCATTTTCTGAAAAAGAAATTACTCCATGTTTAATACACTCCACTTTAAAAGAAAATAATATATTAAATTTTTTAATTAAGTAATGAGTTCATATCATTGTTATGGAGTTTCGGTTTTTGACAGCCAAATCTTCATACTTTGATGCCAACGAAACTCAGAGAAAATGGGCATCGGATTATCTTCCGAATAATTTCACGAATAGTCACTTAACTTTTGTTTTATTGCACCAGAGTTACTAAACTAGTATATTTTTTATATGGAAAAACACTCAACTTTGCCTAATTATCATAGAAATCGTCTCCTTTGTTTCCTTATAGTAACTTTTTATGATACTTAAGGCAAGGTTGAGTGATATTTTGATTAGAGAATAATTTATTGACTTTTGTGATGTTGACTGACTTATTCATTGGTGCAACAAAGTGAAAGTTGAGTGGTCATCCATCTGTTTTATTGAATTGGTTAAATAAACGGGTATGGACTTTAAGAAATGAGAAACAAGATTCCTACTCTTAAAACTTAGCATGAAAATTGAGCAGGATGGATTATAACAAATTCGTATGATCAGCCCCAATTAGTTTGAGAATGAGATTGGAAGGAAAAGCATGGAGTTAATAGGCACATTAACACAATGCAAAAGATCCTTCATTGTGCACAATCATTAAAAATAAAATGAAACATCAAGCATTATTATAAACAAGCTGAAGAAACAGCTCAACAAATGTCAAATCCGGTCAATCTTGTCTTGTAAAAGAATGAATAAGAATGCAACAGATTCAGCCTAAATAGTAACAAAAGATAAAAGGAAATGAAGGAGAGCACATTTTGTCAGCAAAGTCCCGAGCAGGGTCTTGCCTACTTTTGCCTAGTCTCCAAGGTCATATGCGTTCCTGGTAAATGGCACCAAATTCTGCTCTCCATGCTTGATCATCATCATATTCATGATGTTGGACGGTTTCACTGTTTGCTACATCCGAGTCCTCCCTGTACAATGGCGGCCTCAATGCTGCTTCTGGCAATCGGCTCTCAGCAAGATACTGTTTCATTGTTATCATCTCCATCTTATGTTTTCTCTTCAGCTTCTCTATTTGCTTCTTTAATTTCTCATTCTCTTCCTTTGATTTTGTAAAGTTCTCCTGTTAAAAAAAAGGGAATATTTGATCAAAATGACTACCATCTTTAATCATTGAATACACCAGACACGTTTAAACACAAAATTACCTCAGCAACTGAAGCTGTTTCCTCTGCTTCTCTCAACCTAACAAGAAGTTCTCCAGCAGCGTGAACAGCTTCAGCAGTGTCTTTAAGTTGAGCTCTAAGGCTTCTATTCTCCTTTTTCAGCATTTCCCTCTCCCTCTCCCTTTCCACTCTCAAAGCTGAGAGCTCCGCAGCGAGAGACTTGGCAAAACGAGCACCATGACCTTTTCTTCCTGCTTTTGCTGCAGCCATTTTCACATCTTGTATCCCCTGCAAGATCAACTTATGCTTCTCAGCTAAGTCGTTGTATTTATCCTGTAATTCCGCATAATGCTCAATCATTCTTGCTTGCCCAAGGACGGATCTTTTGAGGGCATCATCCAACTCTTCTGTGCACTTCTTCTCCAACATCAATTCCATTGCCACCTTTTCTGCACACCGGCGGTGAGCCTCAAGATCAATTCTCAGTTCATCAGTTAAACAAATCCACTCGCTCTCCATTTCGGTCCATCTTTCTCTTTCCTTCTCAAGTTCTTCACCAGAACTTTTAAGATATGCACCACTTTTTCTCAGCTGCATTGATTGTGCCAATAAGGAGGATCTGGTTCTTTCCATTGATTTATTTGTAGAGGCTCCATTATGTGACTGCAATTGGGACCTTAAACCTTCAATTTCTTTTAGTAGTGTTTCTCTCTCAGCCATATCAAACAATCTTTTCCCACCACAATGGTCCACATCGCCCTGAATTTCTTTAATTTCATACTTCTCTTTTACAGCTTCAGGATCAGGACTTTCCTCATCATCCCATTTCAGAAGCTGAAAACAAATCACAAGTAGGCATTGAGAAAATATGGGAAAAAGCTCCACTTTAACAAAAGAAAGCAAACGCAGCACTAACCTTTGGATTGTTTAGTGATTGACTCCCATTCTGATAAATTATTGAACCCTGCTTCTCATAGTCCTTGATATCAACAACCTTGTCACATTCAATGAGGGAACTCGGTTCTATTGTGCATTTACACTGGGCTAGCTGCAAGGACAAAATTCGCAATGGATGTCATCAAATCTCAAGTAAAATGTTGTCACATTAAAACAAAATATTACTAGAGTGGAAGAACTCTTACTCGTTGGTTTAGCTGCTCAATTTTGTCTGCTTGATCCTTGCATACACTTTCAAGCTGCTTCTCTCTCTCTAGAGCTTGGAACAGAACTTTCTCTGGGTCCTGCCAAAGAAAAAATAACATTTTAATTTAACAGTCACAATGAGCCAATAAAGAAAGAGGCAAGGCGACCCTGTACATACTTCAGGCACTTGATCGGAACTTGCCCCTTCCACAGGGACCATCCATGATGTCCGAAGGCTACCCTGAACATCACTAGAGGAAGTTGCTTTCGTGTTGCACTTTGGACACACAAATGAAGTAGCTAAAAAACGAGAAGTTAGTCCCTCTGCCGATGATGTTTGAACAGAAGAGTTGGCCTTATCATTTGATAATGGGCTTGGTTTTACTGCCAAATGTTCAAAAGAGAAAGAAACTAAGGATCTATTTGATGCGGAGTTCCTCTGGTGATAGTCAATGATCTCCAGACCTCTATGCAGACTGGCAGCCAAGGACTCAGTTGGCCCAGGAAATATTCTGCTGGACCTCAAAGAAGACTGGACGAGGTCACCTTGTGGTAGGGGAGACAACTCTGGACTTTTGGAAGAACATTGAATATCATCTTCACTGGAGATAATTAAGCTTTTCCTCTGTGTATTTCGGAACTTTGGTGACTCAGATAACACAGGGCCCTGAAGAACAGCAGAACCGCGACGTGGGCTGATTGAGATGCTATTACAGTACTCAGGTTGCATTATTTCCATCTCTTGATCAGCATTATTTTGGGTCTCCTCTAGTGCTTCTTCTGAGTTAA